CCAGCTTGTTTTCCTATGAATTGGGTAACCTTAAACAATACTGTGAAAAAGAACATTGTAAAGCTAGGAAATGTTGAAATAAGGTTGCTTTATATGATCTTAATTCGTTGCCATGTGTCACTGTCCATGGGCATCCATCTCATTCAGTGCAGAGAACTGTTGCTCCCTCTTGAGCAGTGATTTAGTATTTTGTTTTCCCACCCTCAATTATGTCCTTGTATTATTTAGTGCATATTGCTCAAGTACTGTTCTGAATATATAATTCTTTTTTTCTCACGAGCTTTTCCATAATGCTTTGTTTGAAGTCCTAAGAGTTTGGCAATTCTGCAGATCAGATTTCAAGGAATCTTAAGTGAGACTTCCACGAAATTAAGATCACAGTTAATGACCATCAGGAGAAAGTTTGGCTTAAGCAATCTGACCAGCCTCACAGTGGACAGTGCAGTGGAAGGTGCAAGGACAATATACAGTTCTTCAATGACATGTTCAACTGCTTTAACAATATGAGGCTACCTTTTTACTGGCTGACGCCTGCAATGTTTGTTTGCGCATTTCTCAACATCTTCAGTAAATGGGAAAGGTATCTTACAAATATCCTACAAACAACAGTCTTTCATTACACAGCTACGATTTATCCCTGAAGTATCATGTAAACCAAGTGAAATATATAAAGCCACATGGAAAAATAGTCAATGATCATATATTTAATACTTGTATTGTAATGGATATATCTGAGTGACAAATTAAGGTTGCACAGGTAACCTGATTTGAAGAGTGTCTTGATTTTGAGTGCTTGACTTTGCAACCATAACAGTTTAAGATAGCTTGTAACATTGCGCATGTAGCAAGATAAGAAAACCTTAACCTGGTTATAGTATTTTGTGACACACAGAAATAGGTGCAAGAGCAGGGTCCACAAGTGTTTTTCCTCTGAGAAGATGTTTTGTAAATATATACTTGGCCTAAGCCTTATTTGTACAGTGTTCATGTGTTTGTGTAAAGTGGCCTTAAAGAGGCCTAAAATCTATCCTGTTCTGTATTCTTTGCAAGATGTTTATTAATTAGTAAGTCATGGTTTCTCTTCCTCAGTAATTCCAATGTTTTAACAAAAAACTTGTGTTCAATGCTTGTTCCAGGGCTGTTGTCATGTGAGACCTTTTTTTTTACAACACTTCCTAAGAACCTCTGCCTGCTGCTGGTGGTTTAGATTGAAGGAGGAATGTAGTTTTGTAACTTGCATGTCTGAACACTTGGATTTTTGAGAATGCAAGTTCTTACTCCTTTCATGGAACAACATTGTCAGGAATGATTTGCAGTACTCATTGTACTCTCCTTTCTGTATCAGGTAGGCAGACAACACTTCCGCTCTGTTGTACATTAGTAAATATGATACTTTGCCCTGAGTTCTCAGACAAAAAATTTACTTCATTTTAAAGTCAATTTTTTAGTTCTATTTTTAGGTCTTCTTTCCCCCCCC